GAAGTAAATGAAGTACATGAGATACATGAAGGTGACCCTCAAATACAATCCCTAAGGGAGCTTGTACAAAAATCAAGGGGAAAAACAAAAATTTTGCAATCAAGAATCACCCCTTCTCAAGATAAGGAAGGACAGAGCTCTCAACACCAACTAATGGAAGATAAGTATGAAACCCTAGGAAAATCAAGAAAGCACAGACTTTAAGATAACGGTGATAATGTAGGCGCAGAAACCCTAGAATCTAAAATGTTATCAGAATTTAAAAAGTTAGAAAATGCAGTTTTAGGCTTTAATGACAGGCTAAATTCGGTAGCCGCTCAGGTACAAGACACCTGTCAAAAAGTAGAGGTAAATGACGCTTGGCCTACTCACAAGTTTGAAAGATTTCGTGATCAACACGAATATGATACACTACGCCTAGTGGGAAAAGAACTCGACCTGGCTGTAGAGTCAAGAAATATTCATAATGCGGTAAACCATATAGATAGTGCCCGGGAAAAAATCGCAAATAGAATGTTTACGTTACGGGTAGCAGAGGAATATGGATGGGAAATTGCATCTGCCTTACCTGATACACAGGATGAATGGTTAAAAGGAAAGGTCGATCTAATTGAAAAAGCAAAAACATTAGCAGATGTTAGAAAAAACAAGCGACAGAAGACCCAAAATCAGGAGAAAAATAATTACCAAGGAGGGTATAACTATTATGAAACCTTCAAAGGCAACAATTCAAGTTCCAGTAGATCCTTTCGTTCATATAATAAATCCCAAAACCATGCCTCAGGTTCAGGCAAATGTTACATCTGCGGAGGCCTTAGGCACTTTGCCAACGCCTGCCCCTCCGATCCAAATGAAAATACCTTTGATTACTGATCATGTGGGTACTCAGCTTACAAAAACAGATTTAATAAGCCACAAGAAAATACCAAAAGTGATTGACTACACTCGGGCCCAGCAGTCAATTTCTGTAGTAGGTCGTTTACACATGGAGGATCATATAAAATATTGGGAAAGAAAGATCCTCACCTCGAACCTTATTATAAACTGGCTCAGGAATAGAATTCCACTATATCCGAAAGGGCTACTAGAATTGTCAATGCAATCGGACCCACCTCAGTACCCTCTAACAATGGAACAGCAAAGTTGGTTGCACCTGGAAATAGAAAGACTCTTAAAAATAAACGCAATTGCGTTGATTGCTCAGTCGAGACAAAGACCCGAGTATCTATTAGAAGCAAGCCCTATATTTCTAACCCCAAAACCAGGGCCCAAAAAGTAGCATTTGGTAGTCGATCTCAGGCGCTTAAATGCAACACTACCAGAAAAAACATTCAAATTCGAAGGGTTCGAGACCTTTTTGCGCATGGTAGGATGAAATTGGTGGGTAATCGTTTTGGATCTAAAAGAGGGTTATCATCACATAATGATGAACGAAAAGGCACAAAGATTATTGGGGTTCAGGGTAAGAGACACTTGATATCACTTTCGGGTTCTGCCTTTTGGGCTGAACCAAGCCGTATTGATATTCTCCAAAATCATGAAATTATTGATAGGACATTGGAGATCATGTGGGATTGTTTGCGAGAATCACGTGGATGACATATGGGTGGCGCACTCCTGCCACGATACCTTAGTACAATTGAGAGATTCAATTATATTTCAGGATTTGAGAAATTGTGTGTTTATACTAGCAGAAAAGGGTCATCTCGACCCTACACAGCAGCCAAAGTTTTATGGAATGCGCCTAAATACAGTAACAGGAATAGTATCCGCACCAGAAGCCAAAATAAGTTCTATACTACAATCTCTGAGGAGCCTTCTGTTACCAAAAACAATAACAGCTCGCTATCTAGCTTCAGTAACAGGAAAGCTAATGAGCCTAAGTCGGGCCTTTGCATACGCAAAAGTTCGCTGTTTGGAGCTGTACACAATTATCGATACAGAAAACAGAAGCCCCTGGGAATAGAACAATCCTGTGCACTTAACCCAGCAGGCACTTACCGACATATTCTGGGTACTAAAAAACTTGAAAGGAAAAAATGGGAGATTGGGGTGGAAGCCACCCCAAATAATCCCAATATACGTGGATGCCTCTACAACCGGGTGGTCAGCAACCCTAGGACAGGAACGAGCCTTTGGGAGATGGAAACAAAGGCACAAATGTACAGACATTGCAGTACTGGAATCAGTGGCAGTATTGTTGGGTCTCGAAGCTTTTGCCCCAATTATCGCAGGTCATTAGACTACCATTTTCATAGACAATCGGGTTGCCTGAAGAACAGTAGAAGCTGGTGGCAGAAGGCTCTGGCAGAAGGAAATAATGCAAGAAGTGTGGAGCCTTTGCAATCAGCACGATATACAGGTCCACGAATTTCAGTGGGTCCCATCAGAGTTGAACCCTGCGGACGAATTAACAAGATTAGTAGATGAATCAGACTGGTCACTGTCCCAGGATTTGTTTTGGGAAATAAATCGAAGGTGAGGGCCCTTCACGATAGATTGTATGGCAAGTTACCATACAAAAAAAGTAACCCTTTCAACAGCCGCTTTCACTGCTCAGAGGCAGAAGCGACAGACTGCTTTACCCAAAATTGAGAAAACGAGAACAATTACATATGCTCTCCCTTGGGTCTGATTCACAAAGTATTCGAACATGGGATAGAGTTTCATGCGCAAATGACAATAATAATCCCAGTGTGGACCTCAGCACCATGGTGGCCAATCCTTCTCTAGCAAAAAGTAGAGTTTATGGACCTGCCTTGCACTATCACAAGCTTCAAACCAAGTCCCGGCTCGAATATGATTCCAGAACCATGGAAAAACCCGTATTGGATATTTCAGACAGTAAGGATCCTTTTCTGAACACGTTATTGGTAAGAGCATATGAGCACCTATCACCATACTCAGCATATGAAAAGCGTCTTCAAGTCCTGTGGGACGAGTTTGCGACCTTTTATAGGTTTCACAACTTGGTCTCGAGTCCTGCACACCCTAGATCTATTATGTCATTTTTAGTATGGGTGGGTTTTTTGTCACGGTCTATGAAACCACGGATGTACCTGACTGCAATTAGCCGCCACCCCGAAAGATGGAGCTCCGGGACCCCACTATTGATTATAATGTTCAAGCACTAACAAAAAACCTAATGAAGCTTGCAGCGACAGATCACAAGGCAACCTGGCCCCGTGACCCGCTACCAGTAG